CACATTTTGGAAAGTCTTCAGAGATCTTGCTCAGGTTCAGTTCACAGGAGTTACCAAATGATTCATATCACTGTATTACTGTCATCCTGTTGTTCATCGATCTACTGGAGCAGGAACCATTAACTTCTCCATTCTTCCCATTCCTAAGATTTTTAGCAGCCTCTCCTTACTCGTCTTTCCTAATGCTGCCATATTGGAGGCTCTTGGGTCAGGGGAATGAGACCCATTATTTTTACTGTTTTTGGCATATTGGATAAGCCACTGGTAGCTTGCCAGGCTGTGCCATGCGGGCGGGGTACTCTCAGTAGCTTGCCAGGCTCTCTGAGAGGCATAATTATTCATATACCTTTATCATTGCACTGCATTGCACTGTACTCCCGTTGTTCATTGATTTTGCTTGAGCTGGCCCAGTAATGTCTCCATTGTGAGACTTGTTCTTACTGTTGTCAGCCTGGCTGGTCACAAGCAAGGCAAACACCCTATTGCTGTGTTATCGTTCCAGCCCAGCGGGTAAGGAATTTACCTTGCGCATGGCTGAACCGGGTTCGATTCCTCCTCCCCCTTGGAGAGCCCGGCAAGCTACCGAGAGTATCTCGCCTGCAAGGCAAAGGCTGGCAAGCTCCCCATGGTGTTTTAGATATGCCAAAAACAGTAACAGCAAGTCTCACAATTTTTTTCCACTTTTATTTATTTATTTATTTATTTTTATATTTATTTATTATTTAATAGTGATTCACCATGAGGTACAGTTGTAGACTTACACATTTTTGTGCTTGGGTTTCGATTATACAATGATCAAACACCCATCCCTCCACCAGTGCGCATTTCCCACCACCACGGATCCCAGCATCCCCTCCCCCCCAGCCCCTATCCCACCCTGCCTCTGTGGCAGGGCATTTCCCTCTCTCTCCTTTTGAGTGCCATGGTTGGCAAAAGAGGCATTGAGTGGCAATCATGCTTGGTCGACAGTCTACCCTCAGCATGCTCTCCCATCGTGGGCGGATCCTCCCAACACCCTTTATTTGGTGTTCCCTTCTCTTTCTGAGCTCCCCCTTCCCCTAACATGTGTGGTTGTCCTCCGGGTCATTGAGTAAAATTCCTGGCACTAATCTCTGCCATACTTGGGTGTTAGTTTCCTATTTTGTTACTTTATGTTCCCCAGATGAATGCAATCTTTCTATGTCTATCCCTTTCTTTCTGAGTCATTTCGCTTAACATGATACTTTCCATGTAGTACCACTTGTATGTAAACTTCATGACTTCGTCTTTTCTAACAGCTACATAGTACTCCATTGTGTAAATGTGCCAGAGTTTCTTCAACCAGTCATCTGTTCTCGGGCACTCAGGTTTTTTCCAGATTCTGGCTATTGTAAAGAGTGCTGCAATAAACAGACAATTGCAGATGTCACTTTGGCTATACTTTTTTGCCTCTCTGGGATATATTCCCAGGAGTGGTATTGCTGGGTCAAATGGGAGCTCAATTTCTAGTTTTTTGAGAATCATCCATACTGTTTTCCAGAAGGGCTGAACCAGTCGGCATTCCCACCAACAGTGAAGGAGTGTCCCTTTCTCACCACATCCGCGCCAGCACCGGTTGCTTTTGTTCTTGTGGATATGGGCCAGTCTCTGTGGTGTGAGGTGATACCTCATTGTGGTTTTGATCTGCATCTCCCTGATGATTAATGATGTGGAAAATTTTCTCACGTGTCTTTTAGCCATTCGGATTTCTTCTTTGTCAAAGTTTCTATTCATTTCATCTCCCCATTTTTTGATGGGGTTGAATGTTTTCTCTTTGTGGAATTGAACCAGTATTTTGTATATCCTTGAAATTAACCCCTTATCAGATGTGTAGTTGGCGAATATCCTTTCCCATTCAGTTGACTGTCTTTGTATTTTGGTCACTGTTTCTTTTGAGGTGCAGAAGCTTCTTAGTTTAAGATAGTCCCATTTATCTATCTCTGTTTTCACTTGCTTGGCCAGCGGTGTGACATCTTTGAAGACACTATTAGCTTCTATGTCATGAAGGGTTTTGCCAACATTTTCCTCAATGTATCTTATAGATTCCGGTCTGATGTTGAAGTCTTTAATCCACTTAGATCTTACTTTTGTACATGGAGTTAGGCAGAGATCTGAGCCCATTTCTTTGCATATAGCCGTCCAGTTTTGCCAGCATAATTTGTTAAAGAGGCGTTCCCTGCTCCACTTCACTTTTCTTGCCCCCTTATCGAAGATTAGATGCTTGTATACTTGGGGGGGGGGCGTCAGTATATTCAACCCTGTTCCATGAGTCTACAGCTCTGCCTTTGTTCCAGTACTATGCTGTTTTAATTATTACTGCCTTGTAGCAGAGTTTGAAGTTAGGGAGGTTGATATCTCCCATTCTCTTTTTCCCAAGGATTGCTTTAGCTATTCGTGGGGGCTTATTGTTCCATATGAATTTCAGGAGTGTTTACTCCAATTCTTTGAAGAATGTCATGGGTATCCTAACAGGGATTGCGTTGAATTTATACAGTGCTTTGGGAAGTATTGCCATTTTGACAAAGTTAATTCTCCCGATCCATGAACAGGGGATATTTTTCCATTTCCCTGTATCCTCTTTTATTTCCTGAAGTAGAGTTTTGTAGTTTTCTTTGTACAGGTCCTTTTCTTCCTTAGTTAAGGTGATTCCTAGGTACTTGATTTTCTGGGGCAAAATTGTGAATGGGATTGTTTTCTTCATGTCTTTTTCTTCTCTTTCACTATTTGCATATAGGAAAGCCATGGACTTTTGGGCATTGATTTTATAACCTGCCACTTTACTATACAAGCCTATTGTTTCTAGAAGTTTCTTGATAGAGGTTTTAGGGTTTTCTAAGTATAGTATCATATCATCTGCGAATAGTGAGAGCTTGATTTCTTCCTTTCCTACCTGGATGCCCCTAATATCCTTTTCTTGCCTAATCGCTATTGCAAGTACTTCCAATACTATATTGAACAGCAGTGGAGAGAGTGGGCATCCTTGTCTCATCCCTGATCTTAGATGGAAGGCTCTCAGTTTTTCACCATTGAGGACGATGCTTGCTGTAGGCTTGTGGTAGATGGCTTTAACTATATTGAGAAAAGTCCCCTCTATCCCCATTTTGGCTAGGGTTTTCATCATAAATGGGTGCTGGATCTTGTCAAATGCTTTCTCTGCATCTATTGATATGATCATATGATTTTTATCTTTTCTTTTGTTGATGTGGTGGATTATGTTGATTGATTTCCTAGTGTTAAACCAGCCTTGCATCCCCGGGATGAATCCTACTTGGTCATGGTGTATGATCTTTTTGATGAGTAGTTGAATTCTATTTGCTAGTATTTTGTTGAGAATCTTCGCATCCGTGTTCATCAGGGATATCGGCCTGTAGTTTTCTTTTCTCGTGGTATCTTTGTTTCCTTTTGGTATTAGAGAGATATGGGCTTCATAGAAACTGTTTGGGATAGTTTCTGTTTTTTCAATTTCCTGAAAGAGCTTGAGAAGGACTGGCAGCAGGTCCTCTTTAAATGTTTGGAAAAATTCGCTAGTGAATCCATCTGGGCCCAGGCTTTTGTTTTGGGGAAGGCTTTTGATTGCAGTTTCTATTTCGTTGATGTTAATAGGTCTATTCAGATACTCCAGGTCTTCTTGATTCAGCTTTGGGAGATTATAGGAGTCCAGGAATTTGTCCATTTCTTCTAGGTTCTCTTGTTTCGTGGCATACAGACTTTCAAAGTAGTCTCTGATGATCTTTTGGATTTCTTTGGTTTCTGTTGTGATATCCCCCTTCTCATTTCTGATTCGGTTTATTAGGGTTCTCTCTCTGTGTTTCTTTGTGAGTGTTGCGAGTGGTTTATCTATCTTGTTTATTCTCTCGAAGAACCAGCTCTTGGTTTCATTGATCTTTCAGATTGTTTCTTTGGTTTCCATGTCATTGATTTCTGCTGTAAGTTTTATGATCTCTTTCCTTCTGCCTGATTTAGGTTCTTTCTGTTGATCCTTTTCTAAGGACTTGAGCTGTGAGGTCAAGTTGTTTATGTGCACCATTTTTACAGACCTAAGATATGCTTGCAGAGAAGTCTCACAATTTGTTGTGAGATGTTACTGGTGCCCGCTCAAGTAAATCGATGAACAATGGGAGGACAGTGCTAACTTCATTATTATTATTATTATTATTATTATTATTATTTAAATTGAATCACTGTGAGATACACAGTTACAAATTTGTTCATGTTTGGGTTTCAGTTGTAGAAATTTCCAACACCCATCTCTTCACCAGTGCACATTTTCCCTCCTATCAGTACCCCCATTCCCCCAGCCTGCCTCTGCCTCTATGGCAGACACATTTGTTCATGTTTCCCCTTCTCTCTCTCTGTCTCTTTCTCTCTCTCTCTCCCTCCCTTCTTCCCTCCCTCCCTCCCTCCCTCCGTCCATTCATCATTCCTTTTAGGCATTATGATTTGTGATACAGGTACTGTCCTTGCTCATCACTTTTCCTTTCCCACCTCACATTGATTGCTAGTCTCCTGCAAGTGTTTTCTAGGAATCTTGTCAATGGCCTTCTTTTAAATCATTGTCTTATCATGTGTTTTTTGGAAATCCCAAACCAAGATGTGCTGAGAAGCAGTCCTAGGAAGTAGGACCTCAGCACAGATTGCCAGAATTAGAACACTTGTCTAAACAGTAGCAAATTCATTGGTGGTGGTCAGAGAGTAAGTGTACATGATTCTTGGCCCATGGTACTATACTGATTATAAGTCTTGAACATGTGAATGAATCCATGTGAGCTTACCCTGATACTCTAGATTTATGATGGGGGAAGGTTAAAAAAAGGATCGTGGGTCTGACTGGCTGTAAAATGTATGTAAAACCCTTGGAGAAAGAAAATTGCAAGATGAGGCCAGTCAATTATAAAGTCAAGGTATGCTACAAAAGTCAGGATGCATATTGTCAGATCTTAAGGATATTCTTATATCTCAGACTCACAGGGATTAATGTGTGAGGAACACTACCAAGATCTGGTTAGAAAAAAAGTAATTATAGAGGGAAGATTAGCATGGCCCTTCACAAGAATGATACACAAATTTGTGAAGCGTTCTGTATTTTTTAAAAAAAGAAGAAGAAACAAAAATGGTAATTACAAAAGAGTGTGAAAACACAGTTCCAACAAATCTACTATAGTGAAGGCAGGTCCTGTTAGGGAAATAATAGAAGAAAACGGGATGGAGAGATAGTACAGGAGGTAGGACAACAGCCATGCATGCAGACAACCTGGATTATATTCCCAGAATCACATATGGTCCTCTGAGCACTGCCAGGAATGATCCCTAAGCATAGAGCCAGAATAAAGCACTGAGGTCTGCTGGGCCCCCCAGAACACAAGCAAACAAAACCTTTGAAAGCAGTATTCTGAAGTAACGGATATGCTCCCTCTTAACTTCATAGCTTTGACCACAGCATTACTATTCCCAAAATTACCAATTAGTAAATAGTATTAAAATCCTTCATAATTACCATTTTTCCTTTTCTTTTTTATTAAAAATATGGAGCTCTGCATGGCCCAAACTGCAGATTTTGTTTTGTTTTTTTTTAATTTTTCATTATTTATTTTGCAACTTAGTTTTCTAATAACACGATAGTGGGAATCTTTTCATAAGCTTGTTTGCCATTTTTATGACCCACCCTCCCCCCCCCCCCCGCCATCTCTGCAATCTTCTAGAATTTATTTGTATTTACTTGATGGGAAAGGGATAAACCAGGGATTCTGAGAACCAGAGCAGCATTCAGGAAATGGACCGTGCATTAATAAGAACAATAATTATCGGGGCCCAATTCATGGCAGGCATGCACTGGGGCCCTTTAAACTATGTCCTTAAACTCTATCATCTTTGGTAAAGTGACTAACTGCACAAATCAATTATGCATTCTGGACTATTCTGATGGCACTATTTGATTTCTATCTTTTTTTAAAATTTTTTCCCTTTATTTTATTTTTTTACAATTGTAGATTTACAATTTTTTGTGCTTGAGTTTCGATTATACAATGATCAGATACCCATCCCTCCACCAGTGCCCATTTTCCACCACCATGGATAATATCCCCCCACCCCCATCCCCCCATCCCTCCTGTCTCTGTGGCAGGGCAATCCCCTGTGTTCTCTCTCTCCTTTTGGGTGTTGTGGTCAAGCTGCAGATTTTTGTTCCTACTATTCTGGACTATATGAACCAACAGGAAAGGGGAAAATATGCATAGGAAAGTGTTTTGTGGGTTATGAACTGGAATGTGGGTAACTAAACTCAATAGTGTAGAGATTTTAGTACATTGCCTCTCTGGATTCAAGCTTAACATCCTTGCAAGAATACTGGATCTACTCTTGAAACACAGTTTTGATATTTTTTTGTAGTTTAGAAACAATAGTTTAGGAGAAACAGTTAATGTTGCTCTAAATACTTTGGCAGAATAGTAAGGGTGTCATCAAAAGTCCTAGTGAAGTAAGAATATTCAAATAAATGCACCTGATTGCAAAGTTAGTATGGGGTAGAGGGGATAGGTGTTTCCATTGTATGTAGCCAACCTAAGTTCCATCCCCAGTAGCTCATCTGGTACCTTGAGCACTACCAGTAGTGACATCTTAGCACAGATCCAGGAGTAAGACCTGAGCACTGCCAGGTGTGGCCCCAAAACATAAGGAAATGAATAAACATATACCTGCAAGCTGGAAAATTCTCTAGTACATAATGACTTTAAAGAAACTGCAAGCGGGGGTATATTCCCAGAATCACATATGGTCCTCTGAGCACTGCCAGCAGGTCAATGTGTACCTGTGAGGTGAGTGCATTAGCAGCCTGATGACACCTTCAGACTTCCAGATACTCCAAAATTGCTGCTGTGCCTTTGGCCAGACCCCAAAAACTTGGGGCAAAGTTTACCAAGAAAGTAAATGGCCAAAAGTTAGGTATGTGGAAAACACACCCACAAACCACCTCCGGCTCAGCTATATAATTGGAGGCATGGCCTCTCTGGTTCCTGATTGAACTGCTTAATGGCCATGATCCCAGAGACTCAGAAACAAATCTCGAAACCCAGCGGCTTTTGGCAGAAATGCGTCTGGTCCTTACAGTATGTTACCGGTGCTGGGAACAACCCAGGTGGGAATAGGTTTTGTGTCTTGGCCTGTTCCCCCCAGGGGCCAGTGGCCGCCATCCTTCAGAGGCCACTGGACAGTCAGGTTTGGGCTCCCAGTGATGAGACATGCAGGGCCTCATGGGATGGGGGTGAAGCCGGTCCTGTCCTCCCCACCCCAACGAGACCCTAAGTCATCGCCCATGAACGGCCTCTCTGGCTCCTGATCAAGCTGCTTAACGGCCATGATTCCAGAGACTCAGAAACAAATCTCGAAACCCAGCGACTTTTGGCAGAAATGCGTCTGGTCCCTACAGTATGTTACCGGTGCTGGGAACAACCCAGGTGGGAATAGGTTTTGTGTCTTGGCCTGTTCCCCCCAGTGGCCCAGTGGCCGCCATCCTTCAGAGGCCACTGGACAGTCAGGTTTGGGCTCCCAGTGATGAGACATGCAGGGCCTCATGGGATGGGGGTGAAGCCGGTCCTGTCCTCCCCACCCCAACGAGACCCTAAGTCATCGCCCATGAACGGCCTCTCTGGCTCCTGATCAAGCTGCTTAACGGCCATGATTCCAGAGACTCAGAAACAAATCCTGAAACCCAGTGTCTTTTGGCAGAAATGTGTCCGGAACACGCAGTAGGTTACTGTCACCGGGCCATCCCAGGGAGGAAAGGGTGTTGTCACTCCACCTGCTCCCCCTTGGCGGCTCAGTGGCCGTCATCCTCCAGAGGCCATTGGACAATAAGGCTTGGGCCTGCAGTGACAAAACTTGTTGGGCCTCACGAGATGGGGGGGGGGGGAAATCTGGGCCTGTTCTCCCCACCCCAATGAGACCCCAAGTCATTGCCCACAAATGGCCTCTCTGGCTCCTCATCAAGCTGCTTAACAGCCTTGATCCCAGAGACTCAGAAACAAATCTTGAAACCCAGCCGCTATTGGCAGAAATGCGTCTGGACCCCGCAATAGGTTACTGTCACTGGGCCACCCCAGGGGGGAAAGGGTGTTGTCCCTCCGCCTGCTCCCCCTTGGCGGCTCAGTGGCCGTCATCCTCCAGAGGCCATTCGACAATACGGCTTGGGCCCGCAGTAACGAAACTTGCTGGTCCTCACGGGATGGGGGTGGAGCCGGGCCTGTCCTCCCCACCCCAACGAGACCCCAAGTCATCGCCCACGAATGGCCTCTCTGGCTCCTGATCAAGCTACTCAATGGCCATGATCCCAGAGACTCAGAAACAAATCTCGAAACCCAGGGACTTTTGGCAGAAATCCCTCCAGATTTAAGTGTTAAAGTTTTGGAATTTCAAAATCACATGGCCCTACTGCAGCCACGCGACATCATATGTTATTCATAACCAGCAATAGAACACAAATTGTCTACTGTTGCCTTTTCAGCAGATCTGAGTGTTGGGGTAAAATCTCAAATAATAATGGTGGGTCTGGTGTCGAAATATTGAATGTGATCAAAGTAGAGTGAGAGAATGTGGAAATCATCTGCCCCACAGGTAGGTGGAGGATGTGGGATGGGGGTATACTGGGGTATTTGGTGGTGGAGAATGGGCACTGGTGAAGGTACGGGTGTTTCATTGTATGACCGAGACTTAGACCCGAAAGTCTTGTATCTGCTCTCACTGTGATTTAATAAATATAATTATTAAAAAATGAAAAAATAAGAAACTGTAAGCTACATAATGGTAGTTTGTCACCAACCTCTGTGTTGACATTTCTCTCTGTACTTCACCAATGACCTCTTAGAATATTACTTATTATAAACTGATGAAGACAGAAAATTTTTCTTCTGATGCATCTGGGGCTCAATATGCTAGGATGAGCTGAAGAAAACAGCTACCTCACCGAGCCCTACTGAGGTACGGCATCAAATGAAAGACATCATAGTGAAGTCATTTCAGATTTTTAAGCACAACACCTGCTTGTAAACATGTGCATGTGGGGGTGGGGGGGATATTAATTCTCAGCTAAAACAATAAGAAATGTCCCTGGAAGTGGAAAATGGCTTGACTGGTTGGTGAGATGTGAGAGCAGAAATCAAGAGGGTCAGGTGAAAGGGCATGTGAATGTGCCTGTGGAAGTGGGCATACATGAAGACTGTGAGTCTTTGACTTATACATCAAAAGCTATCAGATACTGTTCATTGATAAAAACCCACTCTTCTATCAGGTGAACAGGATGATTTTCCAGAGGCTATCAGCCAGTCTCTGTATTCAACTCCCTCATTAGATTTTCAGTGACTTAATGGCCTCCTGAATGATGGGCACTGTGGTGGCAGGGATAAAGGTGATACATGTGTGCCGCAGCATGAAAGCATCACATTGAAGCTGATCCATCTAATGATGCTTCTATTGGCGACAGGGGTTTATGACAAATACTCACTGTGGTTCAGTCCTGGGTGAAGAACAACTACTTACTTGGTGACAAGTTTGTTTTGGAGAAGTCACACCCGTAGTGCTCAGGGCTTACACCTGGCTCTGTGTTCACTGATCACTCCTGGTGGGACTCGGGAGGCCGTATTGGGACACAGGAATTAAAGCCGGGTCAGCTGCTTGTAAGGCAATCACCTTCCCTGTTTTACTATCTCTCTGGCCCACATAAATTTTACTGGACTATATTAGAGTCTCATGACTACTGTAACCAATTACCACAAACATGTCACTGTCCTGTTATTCATCGATTTGCTCAAGCGGGCCCAGTAACATCTTCATTTTGTGACTTGTTGTTACTGTGTCTGGCATATTGGATATGTCATGGGTAGCTTGCCAGGCTTTGCCATGCAGGTGAGATACTCTTGGTAGCTTGCCGGGCTCTCTGAGAGGGTCGGAGGAATGAACCCAGCTTGGCCAGGCTGGCTGCATGCAAGGCAAACGCCCTACTGCTGTGCTAAACCATAAACATGATGGCCTAAAACAATAGAAATGGGACCCAGAAAGGTAATACAGTGGGTAAGGTGACTGACCCTAGTTCAATCCTCGA